TGGAGTACAACAGTACCCATACATATCCATTTACATCCTTAGCCCTCACACTTGAGAGGGAGTGTTGAGCTTCCAATAATTGCTATGTAATCTTTTTTATTTGAATTTAAATGAATGATGTGCTTTCCACCACGTCATTATGATAATTTAAAAACAGTTAACTGATTTAGTAGATTCATAACTCTTTCTAAAAGAGAAAATAGAAAATACACCGACGATGTAAAGTAATTTTACATCGTTATCCAATAAACAATGCATATTCCACCACGTAATTATAATAATTAAAAAAAAATTAAATAATTTAACATATTCGTTATTTCTTATTGAACGTCCGTGCAAAACGGGATATGTCTATTAAACTCTTTATAAAATAAACTACCAATTGCTTTTAAAAAGAGAGAAAAATATATACGGTGTAAATATCAACCAATAACAACTATATATTGAATTAAAAATATATATTTATTTAAAAAAAATATTAATACGATACAACAAATATAAAGATTTAGATTAGTTTGAAAAAACGATGTGTATAATGTGATTGAGCCGTGTTGTAATAATTGGGTTGCAATGATTGTACAGCCCATCATTTCGTAATTATCGTTTAACTCTTCATCCACCTGTCCTTCATCTCTGCATCTCTAACAACACAAAAACCAATCCAGATTTCCAGAATTTTCCAATTCTTCATCCATGGCTTCTCGCCGACGCATGTTATTAAAAGTCATCATCCTCGGCGATAGCGGGTAAATTTCCCCTTTCCCCTTATTTTTTCCAATTTCGATTCCTTCAACAAATTTACGATAATGGTTTAGGTTTTCGCTACATTCAATAAATTCAATAGATTTGTAGCTTTTTACGGATCACAGTTATTGTTAATTAGTTATATGTAGCTATTGCCTAGGTTTTCTTTGCTAATTGGTGTTTTGTTTGTTTTGCAGGGTTGGAAAAACTTCATTGATGAATCAGTATGTTGCAAAACTCTCTTGTTTCATAATGTTATATCATGAATTGTTTGATTAATATTCTTGTGTTGAAATGATTGAATTTTTTTTTAAATTTCTTTTGTGTACTAGATATGTGAATCGAAAGTTTAGTAATCAGTATAAAGCTACCATTGGAGCTGATTTCCTTACTAAGGAAGTTCAATATGAAGATAGGTTGTTTACATTGCAGGTAAGATTTTGGAGAATATCATGTTTCTTTTTCGATGTGAGAATATTTTTGGTGCATGTGCTGTCTTTTTCGCCTCAATAGTGTGTTATGAATTAGTTTATTACTTCTCCCGTCTCATAACAAGTGTCTCATTTGAGCTTTGTGCGGTTCTTAAGAAAATGATTAGATGTGTTGATTTTAATGATAAAATTAGTATTATTTACTAAAACACTCTTAATTATTATGATTTGTAGAGTAGTTGAAAAACGTGAAAGCTAATAAATAGGAGTATAGTAGTGGAAAACAATAATAAATGTTGTATTGGTATTCTAAAGAGACATTTATTTTTAGACATAGAAAAAATGCAAATGAGACACTTTTTATGAGACGAAGGGAGTATATACAATGCATAATGTGGGGATATTAAGTTAGTTTGGTGATTGAGGTGAGAGAGTTAAGGAGGTAAGTGATAAAGAGGTCGAGGTTTGATTTCCACCCCCAAAATAATACTAACATTTTCCGTTTCAGAAAAGAAACATAAATGCATTTTGTTTGTAAAAGCACCAATATTTCTTATTAATATGTGGATTTTAGTGTATATGTACTATCTTCCATTCTCACTTGGATATGCTTTTTGGTTCTGGAAGAACCGAAGAAGTATAACACCACCATTTGTCCATTCAAATGAAAAGTATTGTCAATAGAGAGAAATAACAAAAAGGTATTATGGTACTCTAACGCTTGTTTTTTGGTTCAGATATTGTACTTGTTGGTATTAGTGTTATCAAATTGCCCCGCCATGGCCGCTATGGCGGATATACATGGCGGTTTTTGGGCTCGCCGCAATGGTAAATATCAGCTGCTATTGCGGGTTTTTCCGCCATAATCTGGAATAACGGCGCCGCAAAGTGGCTGGTATGGCGGGATTTTGGCTCTCCGCCATAGACCGCCATCCGCCATCAACAACATCGGTTGGTATGTTCTATTGAATGCTTGTCATTGTGCTTGTGATGTGATGCCATGGTTGGATTAAGTGCATGCTTCTTTTTGCTGCATAAAAGAATCAATCCTTTAGTTTATTGTGGGCCATCACATTGATTAAATAATCACCAAAATAAATAAATGTTTGATTAAATTGATCTTTTTTCTTAATATGTATACAATATGGGAGATCGTATTTTTTCGATTGCTCTCAGTTCACATTCATTTAGGAGAATCTATTATTTATAATCATCCAAAATAAAGATGTTCTTGTATTCGTAGATCTGGGATACTGCTGGTCAGGAGAGGTTTCAAAGTCTTGGTGTGGCTTTCTACCGAGGTGCAGATTGCTGTGTCCTTGTTTATGATGTAAATGTCATGAAATCTTTTGAAAACCTTAACCACTGGCGAGAAGAATTCCTTATTCAGGTGATTTTAAATCTTTGACTTTTGAGTGATCTTAACATAGTTTCTAAAGGATGGTGATTAATATTATACCTAATTGATTTGATTTTCAGGCCAGTCCATCTGACCCTGAAAACTTCCCATTTGTGGTGTTGGGAAACAAAGTAGATGTTGATGGTGGGAATGGCCGTGTTGTAAGTCATTTATCGTCTCATAGTATAATCACTTCCGAACATTTATAGAAGTTATTTTTCAGAATTCAACCATCTGTAATTAATAGACGTCCCCTCCCCCCTTGGAAAGGGGTTCAAATTACCCTGTGTATGGGAGGTTAATTCTACATGTCTGGTGTTATCCCTTCTGTTTAGGTTTCTGAGAAGAAAGCAAAGGCATGGTGTGCTTCCAAGGGAAACATACCATACTTTGAGACCTCTGCAAAGGAGGGATTTAATGTTGAAGCTGCTTTTGAGTGTATAACCAAAAACGCCCTCAAGAATGAGCCTGAAGAAGAAATGTGAGTCCTCGTAAAGTTTAGTTTTTTTTCTTTAACGCACATTGTTAACTGTGGACCATCTATGAATTTTCATTAGCAGCATTTAGAATATTATAGATGGCAAGGGAGAGAAGGAAAAACATACTATCTTATTTTAAGATGTAGTGGCTTTGATTTGTTTTTGTTTTTCATTTTACCAATATGAAAGAATGTATAAGTTGCTATGCTATTTCAATTTGAGCACTGACTAGTTTCTAGTAATTCTCTTTGAGGAGGATGGTTGGAGCAATGTCCTGGATACTTGATTTGATCCCCGGTTGTTGATTATGACAGATACATGCCAGAAACAATTGATGTTGGTGGCGGTGGACGACAACAGAGGTCAACAGGCTGTGAATGTTGATAAAAGTTCTATGAATAGTCAGCTTCACATGCAAGATTGGTGCCAAAATACTGCATCCATCAAATTGGTGATATAGTCTGCATTTTCAGCGATGAAAAGCCTATGACAACTTGTTCTTCTTGTATCTCACTAGTGGCTTAGGTTTTCTTTTGTATTTCAGCAATAATATTTGTAATAATTGTTGACATCTTATTTTTCATCAGTAAATATATGCCGAAACTTTCTTAAGTATTACATTTTTTAATCAAGTATATTACTTTATAAAAAATTGAGGGCAAATATGTTACTTGAAATTGTATTATGTTCGTTAGGCCCATGATTGCATTTCGTGCCTGATATGATACTCATGTGACAAAAATCTTCTCTCATAGAAACGCATTTAATACATTATTATGACATGTTTAAAAGAGTTTGGGTCCTCACATTTTTCTCTTAACTCCATTTCTTTCTTTATTTCACTCCCTCTATTTATTATAAAAAAGGGAGATATAGATCCGCATCTATGCATTATCCTTTAGTAGTACTTTATCCTACTACTAAGTGGAGTCGGTTACGTATATTATATATCTATTCAAACTTTATTAAATTCGAGATCTTTCTTAATAACTTCTCTTATAGTTTTTCTAAGTGTTTCTCTATTTCTAATTGTTTTGACATCTCTCTATCTCTCCCTCTCTACATGCTTAATCAACTTAACTCTTTTTTTCACTATTTTTTTTACTATAGATGCTATTTCTAATTTTATCTTGTCTAATCTTACCACACATTAAATATTCACATCTCGGCAACAATTATATTATTCTCGTGTTGATTTTTAATCATTCAACATTCTATCTCTTACAACATCATAGGTTTTACCACAATCCTATAAAATTTTCCATCAGCTTGGACAAAACTTTTACATAAAGACCCTGGGAAAAAGAGATAGGAATGAGAAGATTATCTTTGGGCAACTGTATATGGACGGTCACTATTTTATGAGTTGGAGCTTCACTTAGGAGCATGCATCTCGTGTATTAATTAATTATTACACCTATTTAGATTTGATGGTTTCTCTTTACACTTAGTGCCAGTGTATGTGGAGGGGTTTAACATCAAAATTAGTTTGTTTTATTTTTTGATAGAGACATCTACTTAAATTTTGGTTGCAAGTTTGACATATTTGCATGTATCATAAGAATTATGTGTTTCACTTTCTTTTACAAGAGTATTATTCTTCACAATATTTACACTCATGTTAAAGAATTTTAAGCGTAGTAAAACAAACAAGTAATGAGATGTGAAGAAACAACATAGATAATCAAGTATGAATGTATTTTATAGGGGATGTTTTCTATAAGATTTGAATAGAAAAATATTGACCAGTACACAGTTCATCACTGCTCAAGCTTTTTGCCATTTAGCAGTTAACAATCTAAGTTACATCTAGATCACCCAAAAAAGAAGGGGAAACTGATCAAAGTTTGAAAAATGCTCCAGTAAATTATCCTAATTTATATATTTTCCACGATGTTTCTTTTCTAGAAGTTAACTACTTTTCTCCCAAAACATTTTCATTTTAATCTATAGCTCATCTTTCGCAACTTCATTCTTGACTTTTGTGTGTTTGTTGATTGACGCAGCCAATTCTTTCAAACTAGCTTTAGTAGGAAGCTTGATCTGCGTAAAACAAAGGTTTCGTTATAGAATCGAGGAAACCATATTAATTAAAAATCTATCATCAAAATCAGGATGCCAATATGTAATTACCGGAGTCGTCTTATCATTTGCTTTGTAAAGTAAGAGTGTCGGAAAGTCATTCACCTGAAATATTAAAAAAAAGTTAAACTCACTTTCAGTTAACATAAACTTCGATCATATTACCGATCAATATTATTCAGTGTTTTGTTTATCATTAAATAAAAAAACCGAGACAGCGAAACTTTTAACGACACTTACTTGCAGTTTTGAATGTTCATTTACTGAAGCATCTATCCTCGAAAATACTAGATTACTTGATCCTTTGTAGTGCTTTGCCAATTTCTCTACTTGCTTGCTTGTGTCCTCACAGTTGAAACACCAAGGTGTGAATACCTGTTTTACAGTAATGACTCGCGAATTAAAATCAACCAATACATAAGCAAATAAGCTGTATGATAGGCTTTTGATCGCATACGAAAATGCTCTTATTGAATTCTTTGAAATAGCGATGTCTACAAATTGATATATGACACAATTTGGGCACGCATGTTATTGTTTCAGTCAAATGCATCATTTAATTCATGGGAAGAGATATAGAAGAGAATAAAACTTCACAAACCTCTAAAATCACATCCTTCTCGCTGTTCAAAATTTCGTCATCAAATGTTTTCCCGACAACAACTTTGACACTAGCTTCAGTCTGCGAGTTGAAATGCCATTACCATATACAAGCTAATGAATCAGAAATATTTTACATAAAATCAATTTATTCGCTTAAATTGAAAGGCTAATAAAGAACCGGATAAATGCAAGGGAAAACTACGCGGAAAAATGTCAAATGGTCCTCACATTATCTGGTACCCGGCTGCGACTTGAAGTAAGTTGACAAAGAGCCTTGCACAAGATTATTGCAGAACTCCTGCATAAGTTCATGTTAACCTTAATTAGATTCGTTAAGTAGGTGATCGTTCTATGAGTGATTAATACGAACAGAAGATAATACTTCGATATTGCTTCGTGTTGGTTTTGACTCCAACAAAAACTTCGAGGTCATTCCTTTATCAAATGCAGCTACCTATTTGGCAGACCAAGAAATAAACTGTATCAGTTTCCACAATAATCTAGACCTATGAAACAATCCAAAACAAGTCATCGTTATTAACTTGCACACTAACCACAGTATTTGTTGAATCTTCAAGTCCAAACATCGTCAAGAAGGGCTTTGCAAGGTTCTCGTCGTTAATATCAACATACACAAACATTATCTGCATTTGAAGGAAAAGTTTAGACCAGAAAATTGCATGAAGGTTCCGAGGCTCCAAATCCAAATACAGGTCAAGTAACTAACTACCTTCGACTTGAAAGTTCTTGCTACTTCTTGAAGTGGATCAAGAAGATTCTTGAAGTCGTCGATATTTGCAAAAACAAAAACCTAGAGAATAACAAATGATTAACTTTGACTATTAATATTAAGCGTGAACATAAACAGAAATGATGAAATAAGTTTAAATTATCAACCTGGTGCTTTATTGGGCTGGAGTAGACTCTGACAGAATTCATTTCAGTCATTTTTGTAACTAATGGAAATTTGTTGTAGCCTAAAAACTCGATTATTTTATCCGATGTGAAAGCTCCATCTGCAACATAACCAATAAAGTTTTGCCTGTAGCCTTAGTAAGTCCTGACGATTTGGTTTCGATTTTGGAGAAAAACAAGTGAAAGCAATTTTTTCATGGCGTGCATAAACAAGCAAATATTTATGTCTTTGATTCATGTCATAGAGATTCGACTGAGTTTTACAATTGGCTGTCGATTCAGCACAATTTCAACTAAAATGGAATTGATAAAGCAATTTCAGTATCGGTTTTGCTTTTATCTTTTAATGTAATAACATTAAAACGAATTTGAGTAAGAGAAAGCAGCAAAGAAAGACTCACCATATGCGGTGTATCTTTCAGGTTCGCTCTTAACAATCCCAAGAAAGTTATCAGTAGGCTTTATATCTGGATAAAGAACCCGGGCAAGCTCCACCTTACTCACTTCAACAAATTGAGTTTCATTATCGGACTTTGCAGCACTCACAAATTCGTCGTATTCAGGGCCCTGATATTTTTAATACGAAATATGCTATAATACAGTACCAAATACAGAAATAATATAATTTTGAACCTCATGTCAGTTTGGCAGATCAAGTTTGACAGATCTAGAATACTTTAAGAGATAATATCACTTACCTCAAATTTATCAAACCGGCCAATGAGAAAAGTGTGATGCTTTTTCAGAAATTCCTCAGCTGCTTTCTCCGTACCTATTCGAATAACAGGCGTACCGGTCCTTTTTCTTGCCCATATGACTATATCATCACTGAAAGCATCATAGAAACAGCTCAGCATATAAACATTTCAAGTGATTCAAGCAATTTATTTCATAAATAGTTCAACATATATCGGTGCATTGAGGTCTTATTTCTCAGATAACGAGTTTTAAGACAATGTTTGCAACCACAATTCAGGACAGGACATCTAGGTTTTTGATGTCTATGTAACCACCAGAATTGAAAGCAATGATCCATAGACAGAAGGAACGAGATAAAAAAAGTTTAGGGAAAGAAAAATTACGATGTGAAACCACCAGAATAAGGTCGAGAGGTGCCATTAACAAAGAGAAGCAAAGTAGGGAAGCCTTTGATCCCAAGAAAAGAAGCCGATTTAGGATACCTATCAGCATCCAGCTTAGCCAAAACAAGAGAACTCCCAAGCTCTTTCAAAGAATTAGCAGCCTCAGCAAAATGGGGCATAAGTTCAGCGCTTGTTGAACACCAAGGTGCATAACCCAAAACAAGAACAAGGTCATACCCATTAACAATTCTCTCAGTGTTATCATTGTTAAGCTCATGAACGATCCTTTGAGCTTTGGTTAAAACCTCAGCTTCAGATGATTTCACGCCATTGGCTTCTGTTTCACGCTCTAACTCACGGTCTAATGCTAAGAGTTCGTCAAACTCATCGTCGAGTTCGGAACATTGTGTGAGAAGATTGAAAGAGAGTAATAGGAGAAGGGTGAGAGAGAAGTAGAGGGTGGGTTTTGGCATGGTGAGATCAAGATCTGATGGGGTTTGGAAAAAGGTTAGAACTTTGGGAAAGATTTAACAATATATTATGAGTGAGTGTGAATTGAGAAGAAGGGTGAAACAGACAAACTATGAACACGCCTAAATTTCAGGGTCCCATGTTAACAAGATTTGAGGGAAGTGATTGTCTGCTCAATTTGTGGACTAACTTTTTGTTACAACAACTAAAATTTTAATATTTAAATTTTTATTTCGCAATCATTTATAAATAATATTTTATATATAATAAAAAAAATTAAATATATACATATTTAACGATTATAATTAATTTATTAATGGTGTAACACTATTTTACATTATTAATATATTTCAATTAAATTCATAAAAAAAATTATTATTCTATATATAATTTAACGATTATAATTTATTAATGATGTAACACTATTTTATACTATTAATATATTTTAATTAAATTCATAAAAGAAATTATTATTTTATACTATATTATATTAATATTAATATTTTAAAGATATACGTGTGATTTGGTAAGATACACTAATATATATTTTATTTTTTCTTTTAATAAATAATAAATTGTTTGGATGTGAAGATATGGAAGATTTTTATAAAAGTAATTTTATTTATAATTTTTTTTTATATTTTTGTTTTAAAAATTTTTTTTTTTTAAAAACTTCAAATAAAAATTAGTTTAAATATTTTTTCAAATGTTATTTTGAAGAATTTATTCTTTTGTTATATTTCTTTTAAATATCAAAATTTTGAAAGTTCATTTCATTTTAAAGATATTTTGAATAAATTTTCATAAAATTATTTTTTAAGATATATTTTTTTATAAATATGATGTAAATTTGACAATATTTTAATCTTCAAAAGTAACTTTTTAATTTATAGGAAATAAGTTTTAATTTTTACTATTAAAAAAAGTTTTCATAAAAATATTTTTAAAAGTACAAAGAAAAACCTACTTTATAAGTTAACCATTATTTTAAAAAATAAAAATTTTATTTTTATTTTAAAATGAATTTTATGAAAGTTTTTCTAAAATAATATAAGTTATTTTAAAATCGTATTTTATAAATTAAAAGGTTGATTTGAGATATCGTAATATAAATATATATTATTGAATATAAATATATATAGTCAAACTCATATAATATTTCAAAAAGACATATCTGTAAAATGATTTATGTAAAATTTATTTAAAATAGTTTTAAACTTAAATTTCTTTTTGAAATTTTTATATTAAAAAAAACAGTAATATGATAAATTATTCAAAATAATATTTGATAAAAAATAATTTAAATCCATATACTTTTAAAAATTCTTTGTAATATATTTTTACAACAATATATTCTATTATAAAAATAATTTTGAAAAAAACATAAATAATCGAGCACATGATGTCTTTTTGTTAAGTTTAGAAGTTCTAAATTTGAATATAACGTAAACACTAATTTAAGAATTAATCTTAACATTTAAGTGTAAAATATTTTGAAATAAAAAAGATAAAATATTCATTTTAGTCCCTTAACTATAAGTTATGGTTTAGTTTAGTCCCTTAACTTTTTTTTGGACTAAATTGATCCCTTAATTTTTAAAACGTAATAAACAAGTCCCTTCTGTCAGTTGGACTCAAACGTCCATTAATTTTACTTACATGACAGGTGAGCTTGCATGTTATTTTCATCTTCTTTATATGTGTTATTCACCACGGTATTCATCATCGTTTTCAAAACTCCAACTATGTCTCCTCGAAAACGACAAAGATGATGGAGAGTCATGTAATGGCATTCTAACTGATACCACCGGTAGCAACGGAAATCGCATCAACTGTTTCGTCATAGGACTACCGACATAATTAGTTATAACTCACAAAGATAAATGAGTTGACGATGATTCAGAACTCACATCAGAAATACACTGACAATACATTAAGGAAAGACATAGCCTACCAGACAAAGTATTCACAGGGGTAAGCACACATTTCAGCATTTCAAATAGGTAAACGGTTCAAAAAAAGTAGACACGCGATGAGCAAGAGCAAAAGCACAAACATTTACAGAAGAATTAAGTTCCTTGAAAATCTTATAAGCAGGTAAAATCCTAATAGTAGCATACAAAGACTTTATAAGTAAAGTAGCTTTCTTATACAAATTTTGCAAAAAAAAAATTCGTTCTTTTAAATCCAATTGCAAAAAAGAGTTTCGTTCTTACAAATTTTGCAAAAAAAATTCTTATACAAATTCTGCTTTCATACTGAATCACCCATCTCTCTACAATCTTCTCATTTTGTGAACCCCCAACTCCAAATTCTTCAAAAGAGTTTCGTTCTTCTAAATTCAATTGCATGATTTTGTGGACCAAAATAATATCCACCACAATCGAGTTTTCAATTATTCAAAAGGGTTTTTAAGCGTTGTAGGACATTCTCTAAGAGCTAGATTGAGCTTTGGAGAAAATTGCCTATCCTTTTGTTTGGTTTTGGAGAAGATTGAGAATGTCTTTCCTTAGGCTTGCCATCTGAACTCCAACAAGTCAAATATCATTTGGAACCTGTTTTTTGACTTTGACTAACGATTCACTAACGAAAGGACTAACGTGATTACGCTTTGAAAATTAAGGGACCAATTTGACATGAAAAAAGTTAAGGGACCAAATTGAACCATAACCTATAGTTAAGAGACCAAAATGAGTATTGAACCATAACCTATAGTTAAGAGACCAAAATGAGTATTTTGCCAAAAAAAATTAGTGGTTATAGTGGCAGTGGATGGATTTAAATTAGGGATGGTAATGGGTACCATGGGCACGAGTACTAGTCTCCATCTACCCGTCTCGTTTAATAAATATGATATTCGTACCCGCTTCATACCCGTGTGGGTATCCGTTAGATGAATATCTGTGGATTTTGAGGTATCTGCGAGTATTTACGTATATCCATGAATACTATTATTTAAATATATTTAAAATATATATTTAAATAACTAATTTGTTTTTATCTCTTTTAAAGAAAAAAATTACTTTCAAATTTAACACATGATAAATAACAACAAAGAAAAAAATTATTTTTAAATTTAACACATAATAAATAATAACAAAAATAGTCACATTCATTTGATTTCTTCTTTTATTAAAATAATAATAATAATAATAATAATAATAATAATAATAATAATAATAATATATTTAACAAAATAATAATAATAATAGTAATAATAATAATAATTTTTTATCAAACAAATTAATATTTAAATATTTTTTCTAATTATTAACGGATACGAATACCCGCGAGTACGGATACCATCAAATTCATATACATACCCATAAGTAAACGGATAATCAAATATTTATTTATTTTATCCGTAAATATCCATTAAATCATCATACTCATATCCGTAATAGATTTTACCCGTGGATATTCACGAGTACGGTTTTTTTGTCATCCCTAATTTAAAAACAATAAATTTCATTTAAATCCAACAACAACAAAAACAATAAAAACAAACAACCAACAACAAATATTTGTTTGCCTCCTTCTAATTTTAACTCAAATCCAACAACAACAATATTCTATACTCAAATCATAATCACCTCAACCTATAAAATTTTCAATACTTGACCGTTGTATTATTGTTATCTTATAAAGTTTGGAGCTTTCCACTTCACAGTTGTTCCAATTTCGAGGAGATAGAAATTGAAGAAGATATTAGATTTTGTGGAGGTTTTTTTTTATTTTTAAAAAGAAGTAGAAGGGTTAAAATAGATTTTGGGAATTTTGTGGAAATTTCAAAAAATTGACAAAACATATAAGCATAACACTACACCAAATTTGTCTTTTAGCAGCACCCCTACTAAAGCGCTTTTTGTAAAAAGCGCTGGTATAGGTTGCGCTAAAAACAAAATAAAAAAACACGCTAAAAAAGCGCTCTTAAAGGGGGGGGGGTTACAAAAGCGCTTTCAGAAAGCGCTCTTAGAGGCTGGGGTACGAAGGCGCATTTGAAAAGCGCTCTTATAGTGGGGGGGGGTATGAAAGCGCTTTCTGAAAGCGCTCTTATAAGGGGCTTATGAAAGCGCTTTCAAAAGCGCTGATATAGGGGGTGGGGGTACAAGAGCGCTTTTATCCTCAAAAGCGCTGGTATAGCCTTAGTTACGAAAGCGCTTTTCAAAAGCGCTGTCATACCCTCTTTACAATTAAAATTTTTTAAAACAAAATTATACTAAACGCGTTCTTCGTTTCCAAATCCCTAATTTCTGCTGAAAACGCACAAAATCTTGCATTCTCAGAAAACTCACAAAATCGTTTCCAAATCCCTAATCGTTGAAAACTCACATCGTTTCAATCGTTCTCCGTTCTCAATCGTCTTCTTCGAAAGAAAAAAAGCTTGGAATACTTAAGGATCAAGAGCTTGCTTCATCAAGTCGTCTCCAATATTTCATCATCATCTTCTTCCTAGAGGTGAGTTCATAGTTAAATTTTAGCTTTGAGAGAAAAATCCATGGTTGGGAAGTTAGGGTTTGTGTTGTTGTTGTTATGAACATGAAACTTGATGACGATACATGCTTACTTGTGTGATTTCATGTTGAATGTGTTGTGGTGTTGGTATTATAATTATTTTGGATTATGTTGGAATCATGAGATATGTTTGATTGTTGTTGATTCTTGAGAGTTTACATGTGGATTTCACTAATGTTAGAATATGGTTAGGGTTGATGGGGATGGTTTAGAAATGATTTGTATGTAGAAAATTGGGTATTTTTAGCCTAGTTGTTGTGGTAATCAATTACCACTTGGTAGTATTCGATTACCAGCTTAAAAATTGGGTTTTGGATTGTTTTGAGGACTGATAATTGATTACCACATACTGGTAATCGATTACCACTGACCATATGGAAAATTACCAAATTGAAAATGATGTGGCTTGAGTTTCATAACTCTATTTTGGACGCGGTCGGAAGCGTTAAAAAGCTAACACTGAGGGATATTACATAGATAAGTTTCC